ATGTCAAACGTTTCAGAAGGAAATCGTTTCTTAAATCTAAAATAACTCTGCAATCAAAGAACATTGTTTACTACATGGAGGCATTAAAATTATGACCTACTATAATTCCTGTTATAGTGAACGCATAAAAAGAAAGTATTATTTTCTTTGCCGGAAAATTTATTCAATCTAAAAGGAAACATTTTATCGTGAAAAATATGGCCTGTTTTTCCTTGGCTTTCTATTTGATATTATAACACAATGACACATAATACCAGTCGAGCAATTTCTTGATCGAATTTTTTATGCCATTGTCTTTCGATCTGTCACAACTTAGTAAACTTCTGCCTTCGGAAAGAACGTTGTTATAGTCTACATGCTGGGCTGTTTAAGAGGTAAGTCTAAGTGTAGCAGGAAACTTGATGGCCCATACAGAAACGCCAGCTGTTGTCAGAAACGGCACGAGTCAATCGAAATTTTGTGCGACAGATCCTATGCGAGCAACCAGAGTAAACGCGTTGGACTCAGACGGAAGAAAATACCACAGCAATCACGCAGGCAGGTTATACCTAAAGTAGCCGCCACTTGATTTTAAGTGTTATTGACACAAACTGTCCCAGACAGGAGAAAAAATATTTTGGCTATTCGTTTTCCCAAAGTCGGAGGAAAGGTAGCAATTCATGCAATTATCCCAACAGACAGATAATTGAAAAGGCTACATTATTCTCGCCATTCTTAGAACGACCATACAAGCTCCATTGGGGATTTCTGTTAGAAAAGGCTATAATTAATGCAGTACCCGACAGAACAACCACTACGGCATCCTAAAACCCATTGACCTTGTTCCTACCGACATAGATGGAACAGCAGATGCCGCAATAAACATGTTATATAAATAAACTCAGTCTAAATGAACATATCTCACCTGAGAGTCAAGGGACCAAGTAAGTTCCTCTTCGATAACCTTCTCGCCTTCTTTGGTGATAGAACACTCTTTGCTGAAACCGCCATTGACTTGCACGCAGGTGTTGGGCGGAGAAATTTGCAGACTCAGGTTGCCCCCGCGGGTCACACATTTCGTCAGCGACATGCGGCACGTGGAGGTCGTACGTCGCTCACTGCGCATATTATTGGTCTGCGTCTCGGAGGTGCTGTTGGTGAAGACGGAGGAGAATATGACGCTACTCTTGGCCTTGCCACAGGCCGACTTCTGCTGCACCATCGTGTGCTCTGCGGGCTTCTGATGCACACGTAATTTCGCATCCACGATTTCCGCCCATTTGGGTGAATCGAAATTGACTCGGTTGCGCAGGTCCCGCGGCACGCCGTTGACCTTCACGTAGTCCAGGATGAGCTCATTGATGTCAACTGATTCGTACATCGCACACGTACCGTTTAGAAGCGCTGCCATCTCTCTGTTCTGCACGGATGTGCTATGGTTTTTCGACTAGTAGGGCAAAAGAGATGACACAAGGTGGTCAGTATGCCCAAAGATAATTCTGATAACCCAAAGCGCGAACCACGAACACTGTGCGCGGGACAGTGGAGAGGGCTCAGTTGTGTACTGCCTCACCATGTGACATTTGATGGCCTCATGAACATGTGCGTGATCGGGTCTAGTCATGAGACAGTTGGGGAGCGCTCAAAGTTGCCAAGGCAACACATGCAAATTAAAATGTCTACTAGCGGCAAAACAAACAACCAATGAATAATCACAGTTTAAGGCAAGCGCATACAGCAGGATTTACTTGTACAAATACATTTCGGGACAGATTCTTGCCTTTGCATGAATTAGATAACAAATGGAGAACACAGCGCGTCGGAGACACGATAAGATAGCGTGAGAATGGACGTAGCATTGACAGGGACCAATCAATAG